AGTATGGGACTGTAGATTCATCTTCATCATATCAGGCACACAAAAATGGATGAGAGAGCAGACTCGTCGGAGAACCCAATGAGTCATTTCAATGGAGGCAGCTTCAACATGTTCCCAGCGGATTTCATGCAAGAAACAGAATTCGAAAAGTTCATATCTGGATTTCGAGGGGAGATTGCTGATCCCATCGAGAAATTCTGTTTAGACTACGAATGTAATCACCTTACCGAGTCCTGCACGGATCTTCAGCTGCTGCCGCTGCCGTATGAAGCCGTCGTTACTGGTGGTGTTGGTAGCGGCATTGGTGGTTATGATGCGATGGGTCTGCATTCAAACCTGATTTGGAACCAGGAAGGACAAGACTTGAAGGATTCTGTTGTTTTCGGAGATGATAATTCGTCTGAAACTGCAACAACCGGTAATCCTGATACACCGACAAGGAGGAGTAGCGGTGGCGTAAAAGGAGATCGGTCAAGGACTTTGATTTCAGAGCGGAAGAGGAGAAGTGGGATGAAGGAGAAGCTCTACGCGTTGCGTTCGTTGGTACCCAACATTACTAAGGTTCGCTCTTTGTCTATAATCGTCGGTAAAAACAACATAATATGCACACGTGGCACGTTGTAAAGTCCTCCTGTTGACGTCGAATATAAGTAACTTCACCTACCAATAATGGTTGTTACTGGTATAATTATAAACTACAATAATTGAAGTTAATATTAAAGTTGTAATCTTTTCCTAGAATAACATGTATTATATATTATGCAGATGGATAAAGCTTCGATAGTTGGAGATGCTGCAAGATACATTCAAGAACTTCAAACACAAGCTAGGAATTTAAAGGCGGAGATTGAAACAATCGAAGCACTTGAAAACCAAAGAACGCCACCTCACAATTCGAAGAAGATTCATGCTACAAACTCGTTTCCAATACTGAAAAAGATATCCAAGGTTTTTGTGAAAAAGATCCTGTTATTGTATAAAAAACATCTTCAATCATATATATTATTCACTAATTTTACTTTGTTTTTTTAGATGGACGTGTTTCAAGTAGAGGAAAAAGGATACTACGTGAGACTGGTTTGCAATAAAGGACGAGGTGTTGGAGTCTCGCTCCATAAAGCACTCGAGTCAATTACGAGCTTTCATGTCCAAAACTCAAACTTGGCAACAGATGGTGATACTTTTGTGTTAGCATTTAACTTAAACGTAAGTTTAGCTTTGTATTTTGTTGTAGAATATAAATATTTTACGTTTAGCTTTGTATTTTGTTGTAGAATATAAATATTATCTACTTAAATATGTATAATAAGTGTTTATATGTTTAAATTTACAGGTTACAGTGTGTGAGTTTGACATCAACTTACCAAATTTGAAGCTATGGCTTGCTGGGGCTTTTCTTAACCAAGGGTTCGAATTCATCTCATTTCCATCGGCCTAATGTTGAGGTGTTTTTATGTGCGAGTATTTTTTAACACTGGCACAAATAGCACGATTGGAATAAAAATGTATTGTGTTTTCTTGCTAACGAGAAGTAATGTTTTGTTGACAAGTGATGGTTTAATGGATGTTGTAAGGGTCGACCTTCCATATAAAACTTTTGATATCTCTTAATAATTGTAATGTTTGCATAAACAGTTCTTACCATTTTAAAGATTAAGTTGATTATTTTAATTGATCATTAATAACCCGTTGGACGAAAGAAAATGAATATTCTATAAGATGAATAATATGAGACTTGTCTTTGGGTAAGTGCATACACAATATATTGAAATCATTTTAATGGAGTGTCACATAATAATTATGGAACTATATAAAAAAAATACAATTGTATTGGACTTTACAAGAACATATTTATAAATCTAATTTATGACATATTTAATATTTAAAAGATTTCATTTTTCATATTGAATAGTTTAATGACCATTAAACTTCATTCAATTGAACGAAAATGACATCTCACAATGATAGAATTTAATCTACTCCCTCCGTCCCAATTTAAATGTCCAGGTTACTATTTTAGGTTGTCCCAAAATAAATGTCCACTACTAAAAATAGATAAATAGTTTACCAAATTACCCTTTATCATTTGAGTTAACCAATATGTTTTTATTAATGTGTTTTATGATAAGTAATTTAAAAAAAAAAAAAGGTCATCCACAGAATATGGAAACAAATAGTAACTCTAGTAAACTAAAATTTCAATCATATGAATTCATTATGTAGTGGCAGTAAATCAAATCGTAACACAAACAAAACATCTCATTTTTTCTAATTTTCATTAAAAAAAAGTCAAAATACAAGTGTTCTTTTCCAAACAATGTGACGTGCAATGCATTTTTACTAGTTCAAATACAATATGGCATCATCTAATAAATTTTGATCACATTCAATTTGGAGTGGCAAATTACCTTCTCGTTCTAACCTACATTTACCAATATGCGGTACGTGGTAGTTGTTGCCACCTTGAACTTTTATGATTTCTTTCATACATGTTTGTAGAGTTAAAAAAACATTGTTAAGTTGTTGTGATGGCATTCTTTCAAAAGATGTTTGAACCGCATCAACTAATTCATCAATTATACGCAAAACCTCTTGTTCTTGAAGTGATTGGATTGCTCGAAAAAAAACCAAGGTCTAACACATTCAAATCCGGACTATTAGGGGGCTGAAAATAAAGTCGAATATCAAATCCATCTCGAGATGCCGCTTCAAGAAACTCGCTATCGTTAACATCAATATGAGGC